TTGATTATAGTTTCTATCCTTTTTTCATTATTCATACTTACATTTAATTTATTTCTTGTGTATTTTTAAACTTTTGATTGTGACCTTATGTTGGACCTTTATGTGAGGAAATTCTTTGAAGCCTGGTTTGAAGTTACATTCCTCCAAAACAGATACAGGTTTGTTTCTATGTCACCAGGGGGCACCATTAACCTGGAACACTTTAACTTAAATTCCCTATGTGATGTTTTATACCACATAGGTAGGGTTGCCAAATAAAATACAGGACATGGTTAAATTTCAGATAAACAATAAATAATTTTTAGTGAAATATTTACAACACACTTATAGTAAAAAAAATTTATTTGTAGTTTATCTGAAACTCAAGTTTAATTGGGCATCTTCTATTTCTATTTGCTAATTTTGGCCACCCTACAGGTAACTTGAATTTGGCTTCAAACACACATAAGGGCTTGCTTAACATTATGAAGTCTCAGAGAACTGTTTTTAGCCATTCTCCCAGGACAAAGGTTGAAATGGTAAATTTCCAATGTCTCCTTCTTTAAGATAGATTTATTTATTGTTCATTAATATACTGATAGTGTTGACCATTAAAATCTCACATCTATGCAGTGATCTCCCACAGATCCTTAGTATTATCTGCTATCCTATGCACACCATGAAATATTCAAAATGTGAACTCAAGGTCCCTTAAGTTGACCCTTGGGATAAAAACCAGCTTCACAGACCAGTTACCTTTCAGTAGTCTTTTCTTTTCCTTTTTCTTTCTTTGTTGTTATTTCTATAGATCCCTTACTGTCTTAAAAAATCCATGAAATATCTTTAAATATTTTTACAGAATTTCTCCAGAATTTATAGTTATTTTTGGCAGCATAGAAGATGTTGTGAGACAGAGTCATTCAAATTATCTCAAATGTATGTTATTAGAACCAGATGTCCTTGGGTCCTTTGTTCTTGCTGACTCTGAAATCTGGTATTCTTGGTGTCTCCTCCACATTTTAACATTCTTTGCCAGACAATGGGTCTAGCACAGGAGTTAGTATCCTTTTGTTTTGCTTTCATACTCTGCAAAGACTGTTGGCCTGTCCAACGACAGAATAGAGGAGCTTGCTATGAGCAACATCTAATGACATCGGCCCACTGCCATATCCACTGCCAAACAGTGCTCTTTCTCTGAGGACGTATTTTAACTCCCTGCACCCTAATCTCTTGAGGAATCTTATAGAATGTGGGTCAATCTAATGCTGCCTCCACCACTACCCCAACTTGTCTTCTGATTTAGTCCAAAGGAATCCCATTCTAATTGGTATGTCTTACTGGAGTTTCTGGAACCACACCTGAGGCTCCTCATGGAATTAACCTTAGCTTAGTTTTTTAGTTGCATTTAGAAGACCAGTTTTCAGAGTGCGGTTAGATTCCCTTAACCCTGAAGGGCACCCCTGACTTAATGGGCTAGTGACCAGCAGCTTCTTTCTTCCATCTCTGACGTCAGAGGGGTTTCAGCTTGTCTTACTTCCAGGCCCACCCAGCACTGTGCACTCTTAGCACCTATGGCCTGCTGGCGCTGGCTCATACCAGACTGTGAGGGCCAATTACTAAGCTTCAGGAATTTTGAAAGGTGTTGATTAAGACCAGCTATTATAAAAAATTAAAGTACAGAAACATAATTAAATAAGTCATATTAAAAATGATGTGAGTATAGCCCCAGAAGATGACTGGTTAGCCAGAGACAGGTAAGATTCCTCAAGGGAGGAACAACCTAAGATAGGCACAGTCACAGGGGGGCCATCAGGTGAGAAATTGGGGATCAACAGAGGTGAGGCTTGAACCTCACCCCCCCCCTGTTTTGAGAGAAATCTTCTGCATCCGTGGATGTTTTGTTGCCCTTGTATAGCTTGGATTAATACTTAGTCTATAGGCACACGCCTGATCATCTACATTTGCCCTCTTACAGCACTAAACTATGTTTTCTACCTTTATCTTGCATCTACCTACCACTTCAGCATTTTATTAAAAATAATAATAATAATAATAAGGGAGAAATGTGGAATTCACATATAAATCAAGTATAAAAATCAAACGAATAATCATAATTGACCTGATTGTTTATAGTTCATGATGCGTGATCAAAACCGAAAGTTTCTGATGACTGCCCTTGCACTGTTCACCATGTAAGAACTTAGTCACTATGTAAGAACTTGTTCACCATGTAAAAACTTGTATGTTATGCTTCAGAAGATTGGAGACTGTTGAGAATTAGGCTTGGGGTTGATTAATGATTGTGCATTGAGTCCCCTATACAGAATTTTATTGTTGTTAACAACCATATGATCAATAAATATGAGAGATGCCCTCTCAAAAAAAAATGATGTGAGTATAAAGCTCTTGGAGGAAACCATACAAGTCAACCTTATGTGTGGATTAGGCAATGATTTCTTAAATATGACACCAAAAGAATAAATAACAAAAGATAAAAGTAGATAAATTGGACAGTGTCAAAATTTTAAAGTTTTGTGATTCAGTGGACACCTCTAAGAAAATGAAAATATAACCCACACAAAGGACAAAATATTTGCGAGTTATGTATCTGGTAGGAACTTGTATCCAGCATACATTTTTTTTAGAAAACATATAATTCAATTAAAAAACAAATAACCCAATTAAAAGACAGACAAATGATTTCAGTAGGCACTTCACCAAAGTAGACATACAAATGGCCAATAAGCACATGAAAAGATAACATCATTAGTCATTATGGAAATGAAAATCAAAACCACAATGAGATACTTCACACCCACTGGGATGGCTTTAATCAAAAGGACAGACAATAACAAACATTGGCCAGGATGTGGAGAAAATAGGAATGTCCAGAATAAGGCATATCCATAGAAACAGAAAGTATATTTGTGGTTGCCATAGCTTGGGGGAGAGGAGGTAATGGTTACAGTCTTTCTTTTTGGAATGTTGAAAATTTCTAAAATTAAATTGTGGTGGTAGTTGCATAACTCTGTAAATATGCTAAAAACCATTGAATTGTACACTTTGAAAGGGTGAATTGCATGGTATGTGAGTTATATTTCAATAACCTGTTAATTGAACAAACAAATAATAAACATTCAAGACACACCACTTACTAATTTACAACATTTTACTATCATCTACGTCCTTGAGGTTATTTACTAGGAGATAGCATGCAAGTGGCCCCAGAACATAAGATCAAACTGAAAACAGGATCAAATGATATTAAACCAGCAAGGACTGTTTATTTCAACAAATATCTTGTTTATTTCTCTTTATCAAACAGCCAGATGGCAGTAAGTGATAATACTCTACTAATCCCTTACGAAGACTCATTTGCTTGAGATTTAAAGGCCAACAATAATGATCTGCACCATTGTAAGAAATATATTGGTGTCATGAAAGGTTTCATGGCAAATAAAATTATTCAAATAAGGCATAAAAAGATACAGTCCATCATCCTGCTGCACTCCACCAATAAATAATTGTTGAATAATATAGAAAATACAAAAATGGATTAGATCTTTCTTTATGCAGTTAAAAAAACAGAAACCAATTTTAATATTTAAATATAAAGGCATTTCATATTGAGATGTAGATACTTATAAACTTTTGAAAGGGCTTAAGGAGGGAAAGTCAGGGAAACTAAAACTGAATCTGAAACTTCTTGCTTTCATGGGGAAGTCAAATTGTAAGAGACTGAAATCAATAATTATGGTTGCCCTGAAGCCCTGGGGTGAACGGCTGAAAGGGAAATATGGAAATTGCTGCAAAAAGATACATCTTCACTTCACACATGTCTACCACAACTGCAAGAGAAAGAAGAATAGCTTCTACCTCTCTTCTGCCTTCTAATTCATGTATTCGTACAACTCACTGGCAGAATCTCAACTGCATTTGGAACCCCTCTGGCAAAGGACTATGGAAAATGTAGTTCTCATTCATCTAACCCCTGTAATTGAAGGTAGACTATCAAATGAAATGATGCTAAGCACCAACAAATAATCTATGACTCATTACCTTCAAGGGTATTTGTGTAATTTTCTGAGACTGTATTATTTCTTAGTGGTAAGGGATGCAAGCTGCAGAAATTTTATCTTTCCCTTAGGTAACTTGACATGCCTTGAACCACTGGACTCAGGCACTTTTCCAAGTTAGCAATCCCTGAATTTGTTGGGAGTTTATCTCCCAGTCTCTGGCACATGTCTTAAGAAATGTAATGAGTACTTGTGAATTTTCTTCACTTGTTCCTGTCATCATTATGACACTAATATAGGAGACCACTGTGAAGTCCTGTGGAATGACAAGACTATCAAATTTCCTGCGGACTAGATTATGACAGAGAATTGGAGATTCCATATAGCCCTGGGACAGGACTCTTGTATACTGCTTGCTCTTCTAGATAAAAGTAAGCTGCTTCTGGTAGTCTTTATTACTATAGAACAGGAGTCAGAAAACTAGAGCTTATAGGCTGGCCATTTGTTTTGCAATCAAAGTTTTATGGGATCACAGCAAGTGCTCATTTATTTATTTATATACTATCTATGGCTGCTTTCACATTACAACATCAAATTCAGGTGTTGGGACAGAGACCTTACTGACCAACCAAAATATTGCCCTCAAACTAAAGATAAATAGAAATAACACAAAGTTTTAAATTTACTTCTAAAACAAAACCATGGCCCTTTTATGAAAAGCAAACACAAAAATGTATTTATAAAAGTTAAAACCGAATACTTTTTTTTTGAGATTTAAAATAATCAATGTCCATTTAAAGGGACTCAGTATTCACATTCTAGTGTAAAATAGCCAGAGCTGTGTGGCTTTCTTAAACTCTGATTTTTAAAAAAATCTGTTTAGAAAATATCTGTGTATCTTTTATGCCATTGGGCAAAGTGATCTGTAGTATTTGATTGACAATCCATTATTAATTCTAATGAAGCACATTTTCAAAAATTGTTTGTTTGCCTGTTCTAAAAAAGCTCCAATACAGATTTCAGCATGTCAGGACCTTCTTTTGGAATTCATTGGCGGTCACTGCTGTAGTCCCATATTGACCTGAATGAAGAGAGGCTGGCCTACAGTGTAAACCCCAGGTCTGTATTTATCAAGTAAAGCAAATACTCTCTCTCACTCCAAATTTTTTTTGGTGGATGGGGAGAAGGCAATGTCAAGTGCTGACTTTATGACCCTTTAATTTGTGCTGCCACTGTAGAAGTTTTTCTTCCATGTTTGAATTCTCACTTCCTCTCAAGAATTGGCAATTATGTAATACTTCATAGGGTTAATGACTGTTTTAAAAAACATCTCATTTGATTTCCATATCGACCTAGAAATTACAGTTGACCTTTGAACAACATGGGGGCTAGGGCATGGACACACCCATCAACTGAATATCCATGTATAATTTTTGACTCCCCAAAACTTAGTTACTAATAGCTTACTGTTGACTGGATGCCTTAGTGATAACAAACAGTTGGTTAATACATATTTTCTATGTTATACACATTACACACTATATTTTTGCAATAAAATAAGCTATAGAAAAGAAAATGTTATTAAGAAAATCATACAGAAGAGAAAAAACATTTACAGTATTGTACTGTAGTTTTTGGGAAAAAAACATATATAAGTGGACCCACACAGTTCAAATCTGTGTTGTTCAAGAGTCAATTTTCTCATATTTCATAGATAGGGAAACTGAGGCTCAGAGAGATTCAGTAAATCATCCAGTTTCACAGAGAAAAGGACCAAAGGACAAATATTCCCTAAACATCCACAATACTGTAGGCACTATCTTAAGTCAAAATTCACATCTTGAATATTAGATTCCAAGTTCAATATTCTTACTATCATAATTTATTAACCCCCATCATATGGTTACTAGGGATGGGGTGTGGTGGTAACTCTTAAACATGTAAAAATATACCAAGAACTGCCCCAAAACTGAGAGTAAGATGACCAAGGGAAAGTAGACACAACTATAAAACTTTATGGCAAATGCTATTTATATGATAACTGAATGGATGCCTTTGGAAATATGCTTATGCTATCACATGTAGAATTAAGCTAATGAAAGGAAATACTTCTTAAGAGTTTAGTTGTGACATTCTAAAATATCTAACTACAGGAAGTTATAAACTGTCCCTGGGTGGTGGTGGTGGTGGTGGTTGTTATTATTATTATTATTACAGGGAAAACTTATCTTTTGGGAATTTTCAAATATATAGTCTTGCTTAAAGTCTGCAGCAGTATGAAATGTTTCCTTTCTAGGTCTATTATTCTATGGTACTGTCTCTAGTAACAGGGTGTCTCCTGCCACTTTAACATGCTGTAAATCTGTTGGGAAAAAACTGAAATATCATATATGGATATGCTTCTGGAAGTATGCTTTTCTTTAGCTTCTTGCTGAGGCTACATGTTATCAGAGTCACCAGTTATTCACTTACTAATTTATCTGACAAACATTTATTATATACACCCTATATACTAGATTTGTGAAGAATATGATACAACTTGGTAAAACCTTTTCCCATCTAATAGATTTTGAGGGGCTTAGTCAAAACTATGACTATGAGTTACCTTCTTTATTAGAAAGGCTAGATAATATGCAAAGGAAACTAAACAAGCATGTTTTTGCTATGTAGAATAGGGGTCAGCAAACTTTTTTCTGTAAATAACCAGATTGTAACTATTTTGGGCTTTGTAGGGCCATATGGTCTTTTTTGCAGCTAATTAACTCTCCATCGTAGCCCAAAAGCAGTCATTGATATTATGTAAATGATTGGATGTGGCTGTGTTCCAATAAACTTTTATTTATGGACACTGAAAATTGAATTTCACATAATCCTTATGTCATCAAATATTATTGTTTTGATTTGTTAAAAGACATTTAAAATGTAAAAACCATTCTTAACTTATAGGCCATACAAACACAGGCTGTAGATCATAACTTGTCAGTCCCTGTTAGATGAAATTACTATCTATGAAACAAAATACAATTGTAAATGAACATGAAGGATGCAGGTAATATAATATAATATTAAATTTGAAACTAAATGGTAAATATTTAAAACATTTTCATACCACGAGTTGGAAATAGGTTCCCTATGTAGATGCAGCAGACCTAGCTTTCCTTACATGAGAAATTTCAGCAATTGGTAGAAAAGAGATCGAAATGCCTGCACACCAGAAGTTGAAAAATAAAGACTTAACACTTTCAGTATGTCAGAGTTCTTAGCCTTATGTTGCTGGAAGTTGAATGGCTTCCCACAAAACTCTCTATAATGGCTCCTATATATATGTATTTTTTAAAATAACTGACCTATGTATTAACCACGGTTCTCTGGAGAAACAAAACCAATATGAGAGAGATATAGATAACTTTTTAATAAGGAATTGGCTCACACAATTTATGGGGGCTGAGAAATCCCACGACCTGCCATAGGCAGGCTGGAGGCCCAGGAGAGCAGTGGTGTGGTGACAGCCCGAGTCTGAGGACTCAGGGACTAGGGTGCCACAGGAGGAGGTCCCAGCTCTAGAAGAGAAGACCAATGTCCCGGCTAGACATGCAGGGAAAGCAAATTTTCCATTTCTTTACCTTTTATTCTATTCAGGCCCTTAATGGAGCTGCATAATGGCCACCTACAGGGGAGGTATGCTGTTGTGATTTATAATAAGAAATATAGTTTCCAGTAGTAAAGACCTCCCCATAAGAACATGCCTCTCTCAGGCAAATAGTGAATCTGTGGCATCTTGCTGCACTGATGGACAGTGACTGCACTGGGGTATGTATGGGTGAGGACTTGATAATATGGGTAAATGTAGTAACCACACTGTTTTTTCATGTGAAACCTTCATTAGAGTGTATATCAATAATACCTGAATAAAAAATTAAAGAAGAAAAGAAAAAGAACATGCCTTTCTCATATCTCCTTTCTCCCTTTCCAGAAGACGAGAAAAGGAGACCCAAGGAGAAGCACCTGCTGCAGAGCTCCAGGTCCTACTCCAGGGATGTGCGATGCCCAGGTGCTGTACAGTCCCTGCCCTCTTCAGTTGTGCCAAATGGTAGTTTTGTGTGCTGGCTATTTCAATGTCCTCCGCCAGCCTACGGGAGGAAAAACAAAGCTAACAGAAGGGTACACACACACAGACACACACACACACACACACACACAGATATATACACACATAAATAAAAATATATAAATAAATAGTCCATAAATATAAGAAAAAACACATGGACTTAGTCCCATTTCTGGCACAAAGCTCCCCAAACCCTTCGAATTTCCTCAGTGATAAAAGAAATAGATGGATCTTTCATTTTATTTGGTCTCTTGTCTCAGTTGCTGAAATTGCTTCAGAGCCATAAAGGTGAAATAAGTGTCTTGCTATTCATAACAAGCCCCTTTCTACTACAGCTGAGTTTACAGTAAAGACATGATGTTTAAAAATCTCCTAAAGATGGGGGAGAGGGAGAGCTTTCAGTCCCACCCGCAACATCCTGGTAGAGGAAAGGGGCTGGAGATTGAGTGCAATTACTGACGGCCAATGATTTCTTCAATCAGGCCTATGTAATCATGCCTCCATTAAAAAGTCAGAAGGAGAGGGTTCAGAGAGCTTTCCAGTTGGTGAACACGAGGATGGAGATGGGGGACAGTAGTGTGCCTGGAGAGGGCATGGAAACTCATGGAAGACAGGGGCCCTTTACAATGTACCTTGCTCTATGTATCTCTTTATATGTCTATTGAGTCTATCCTTTAATATCCTTTGTAACAAATTGGTAATCTAGTAGGTAAAATGTTTCTCTGAGTTCTGTGAGGTGCTCTAGCAAATTAATCAAACCTGAGGAGGAGGTCGTGGGCACCTCCAATCTATGGTCAATTGTTCAGAAGCACAGACAAAAATCTGGGCTTGCGAATGGCATCTGCTGGGGTTAGGGACAATCTTGCAGGCAGGCCTGAACCCTTAATCTGAGGGATCTGATATTATCTCTAGAGTGTCAGGATTGAGTTGAAAGGTAGGACACCCAGCTAGTGTGGGAACTCCCTTCCCAGCATTGGAGTTGGTTGCCCTTTTAGGAGGGCAGTCTGCTTTTCTCTGCCTACAAATTCAAGCCCTAATCTCATCCAGAAACACCCTCACAGACACACCCAGAAATAATGTTTAATCAAGTATCTGGGCATCCCATGGCCCAGTCAAGTTGACACATGAAATTAACAACCACACCTATATTTGCAAAACTAAGTGTTATTTGTGGATAGTATGACAGAAAGTAAATGAATAGTGTATTGTGAGAAATTCTATTAGTTCTCTTAATAAAATCAAACTCTAGGTTTGGAATGGAGGGAAAATCATCAAGCAAAGGCTGAGACTGGACCTTAGAGTGAGTACTAGAACTCACAGGCTTGACTAGAGTCTCCAGAAATGTTCTACACTGAACATCTCTAGTTCCCCACTTCACATCCTTTGGCCCACTTTTTAGTCTATTTTTGTAGCAAACATCATGCAGTTATTGCCTGACAACATCTTGCCTCTGTTGCATTGTTTAACTCCTATTTTTTTTTTCTACCTTGGGGCTTTCCTGATAGTATAGGGTGGGGCGTCTGCAGGAACCTATCTGGCATTGAAGGATGTACAGACTTAAATCAATGCCCCATAGAACAGCCTTCTCTGCCGGTGTGAGACAGGAACCAGTGGGTCAGATGCTCCCCTCTTCTTCACTTAATGGATGATTCAGAGGATTCTTGGAAGATCCTATCACATAACATCTTTTACGGGCTTTCTCTGTTTTCCTATTTTACTCAGGCTCTGCACTGAGGGTGAGTAGGGACCCAGAGATCTTAGTCAGCTTGGGCTTTCATAATAAAATATCATAGATCGGGTGGTTTAAATAAACAGAAATTTGTTTTCTCCTAGTTCCAGAGGCTGGAGGCCCCAGATCAAAGTCTGGTAGGATCAATTCCTGGTGAGATTTCTCTTCCTGGCTTGTAGATGGCCAGCTGCTTCCCTGCTGTGCCCTCATGTGGCCTTTGCTCCATGCCTGTGCTGTGAGGGAGAACAAGCTCTCCCATGGCTCTTTTTTAAGGGCACTAATGCCATTATTGGAGCAGGCCCCCTGTCTCGTGGCTTCATCTAACCCTAATTATCTCCCATGAGCCCCATCTCCAAATACCATCCCATTGGAGGTTAGGGCTTCAAATATATGTTTGGGGAGGACACAAACATTCAGTCCATAACACTGGGTAAGAAATTCATCTTTCCCTTGGGAATCACTGTCTTATTTTTACTGGTACAACTATCCCGGCTTCAGAGTCCACCACTGGTCCTTTAGTGCTCTGATCCTTTAGTGCCTGGTGTTGGCAGCCAAATTAGTGAAATGATTAGCAAAATGTCAATCACTTCATTGACAGATTTCTAGGATCTGGATGATATTATTGTGGCTAATTGTAGGGGATATTAGCTATGAAATGAGTTTCCCTATTAGTTTTCTGAGGGCTCCAGGGGGATCCTAAGTTGGATGATTGCAGTTCTGATGATTGATACCAAATTGCCCCAAGATCAGAGGTTCTCAACCCTGGTTGCACAGTAGAATCACCTGGTAGGGGTTGGCAAAAAATTCCAATGCCTTAGCCCACCTCCAGGGTGTCTCATTTGGTTGTTCTGGTGCAGGGATTGGAGCATGTGTTTTTTAATTCCACGTACAGCCTCAGAAGTGCAGGCTATTGCCCTACATGGGCCTGTGCAACATTGCCCACTACCCACTGAGTTTTGTCTCTTGATAAACAGAAACTTTTAAAAATGACTTACTAAATAATCATAATTAAAGGGTTAATGTGGAGCTATATTTACCAAGAGACCAAGTAGCAGTTAATTAAAAAATTCTATGAGTCACTAAGGAGAAAGTAAAACTGTCATATTTAAAACAAAACATTGTAATTTAATGTTCATAGCAACATTTTGCACAATAGCCAAAAGAGGGAAACAGCCTAAATGTCCATTAACAGATGAATGGATAAACAAGTTGTAGTTATACATACAATGGAATATTGTTCAGCTTTAAAGAAGAATAAAATTTGGATACATGCCACATTGTAAATGAATCTCAAAAACATTATGCTATATGAAATAAGCCAGACATGAAAAGACAAATATTATATGATTGCACTTAGATGAGGTACCTAAAATAAGCAAATTAATAGAGATAGAAAGTAGATTAGAGATTACCAAAAACTAGTGGTTGTGGGGAATGGTTAGTTGGTACTTAATGGGTACAGAGTTTCTATTAGGGATGACGGAAAAGTTCTGGAAAAGGATAGTAGCAATGGTCCACACATTGTGAATATGCTTAATGCCATGACTTGTACACTTAAAATGGTTAAAATGGTAAATTTTATGTATATTTTACCACAGTAAAACAAAACAAAGCAAAACCTCCTTATAAATGTGATGCTTCTGAATGAAGATTTAAACTGATCTACAGTGTGAGGGTCACCATACCACTAATAGTAAAAAGGTAAATTGGCAATAGTGAAAGAGAAATCCCATTAGGAAAGGTTTTTAAACTGTATCAACAGCCTGAAGTCATTATAAAGTGATGTCTTTCCATGCTGTTTTTCAGTTTTTTTTGAATATCAGTATGTTCAAGCCTTAAAGGAAAAATAATGTTTTCTCTGTAATTTATTTTTCTGAAAAATTTGAAATCAAAATTAATGTTTGAAAATAAAAGTAATAATGATCCTATTGGCAAGTTAATAGTTAATCTTGTACCATGACTATAGATTTTTAGATACAACAGTGTGAAGTATGTAGTCTTCAGCTTTAAAGAGCATCAACAAGTGATCAGCACAGAACAGGTGCCATAAAGGATAGAGATTAGACGATCCATGGAATTTCTGCTCTGGGCTGCAATAAAGGATTTGTTCAGATGAAATCAGTTCTTTCAGTGGCAGTAGGAAGTACATGCAGTAAAATAATTCTAGAACAAAAGACCTCCTTGCAGATTAACTGTCACCAGCTCCCTTCTTCCGCCCTGTCAACTGACACACATTTTATTCCTTTCAAATCTGGATAATGCCTCTCTTGCTTTGCTTGCTATTAACCAGATTAATCTCTTCCTCACGCCTCCATCTCTCTCTCTTCTCTTTCTCTCTCTCACATGAAATGTTTTTCCATGGTAGCATATTCTCAGAAATTATATGAATGTAATGAGAAAAAGTAACTCTTTTGATTTCAATATCTTTGCAAACAACTCTTCAGTTACAGGTCAGTAGTGTAAGGCTGTGGAATGTGTATAAACAGGACAGTGGAAGTACTTCTCCAAGCTGTTTACCAAACTCTCCCTGCAGATGATATTTTATGCTATGTAAAAATTACAGAGTCAAATGAATTAATAAAGAAAAGACACAAAAATCGTCTACAACAATCAGGTTTATAAAGACTTTTACAGAATGTCCTGGACTCCTGCTGCCCTCCTGAGATGAAATTCCCTTCCACATCTTTCTCCCACATCAAAATAGCTTGCTTCAAAGCTAAAAGGCTTTTGTGAGTGAAAAAATTCTCTCTTTATTCGGAAAGAGATTTCCTGATCCCAAAATGCTTGGTTGGTCAAAATCAGGGGCCTCCTGTTTCCCACTTTATGATCCTTGCCTACCAATAGTGGCTCTACTATGTATATGTATGGCGCGAGGGTTGGCACCCTGCATTTCCTCCCTATCTTCTAACTTGACAGAGGACTTCGAGAAGCTTCCTTCCTGCTCCCTCTGAACTTTGGAGAATCTCCACTCCAATAGCTGGTTCTATGTTTTATGGAGGTGTTTTTCTACTAGCCGGAGGAGAATATCAGAATGAGTTTTCACTTAGAATCAATATCGTCCAAGAAGGTGTGTCCTGTAAGTGTAAGTATAGATAAGTATAGATACATGGTTGAGCCACACTGTGGCTTACCAATCATTCATGTGTTGGTTCAACATAAATTTATATATTTATTTATCAAGTCAATATTTATAGTCAAATAAATATCATTAATTTATGTATTTATTTATATGTTCACATCAAATACAAATTTATGTATTTATTTACCAATATTCATATATTGGTATGTATAACTGTTACATACCAAGTACTGTTATACAGGCTAGGCATAAAAGAGATAAGAATCTGTTCTGTAGGAATCATATTCCAGTGGGGACAGTTAAAAAATAAACAAGTAAAACATATGGGATGTTACATGGTGATAAATACCAGGGGAAAAAATAATAATAAAGAAGAGAAGGGAGAGAGAGAGTGTGCGTGGAAGAGCAGAGATTGCGTAACATTAGATAGAGTAGTG